AGGTTCAAGTTGAAGCTGTCAAGATTTCTTGACGTTTGCTGCTGACCTACATCCACAACTTCCTTTGGTCTGCTTAAGTACTGGCTTAGCCAGCTCAATCAACAGAACTGCCAATCGTGAAAGAAAATGACCATCATTGATGTTTTTAAAAGGCTGGTGTCCAAGTTTTAGGATGCACCAGTCTCACGATGAATCATTTCAGTTACTCACCACTCATACTCTGCTAAATAAGTGTATCTGTAAAAGAGCTGTCATAGTTCACTCATATATCTTGAACATTATAACATTTAATGTAAAGTATACTCGATTGAGCCTGTTTAGTTGTTCTGAGCTAGCAATATGGAAACCACTCTTTAAACTGCTGTTTAAACTTGCCTAATAAATGTGATACTTACTACATTTATTTATTCTTTATTGAGGGCCAACTGATGATATTCTTGGTCCCATGTTAAGCAATTATATATAAATCAGATTTTGTTTTTCATCTTTATAAAATTTCAGTGAGGTAGGTGCTATAATTAACCTTATTTTTTACAGATGAAGCTGAGGCATAGTCAAGTTAATTAATTTGCCCAAGGCCATCCAGAGAGGAAACTAAGACTTAGAAAGCTTCAGAGATCCCCAAGCTCACGCAGCTAGCCATTGACAGAGATGAGACTCTAATCAGGGAAGATGGACCCCAGAATTGGTGCTCCAACCATTGTACCACCCTGCCTCTCTTGATTAGCTTATGAATTATTGAGGAAGATCAAGGCAAGAGTATCTTAAGCTTCAACTGGTGGGTCAGTCATTCAATGGCATGGAATGGCATGTGACACTTTCTTACAAATGTTGCAAAAAACAGTTGCATTAATCTTGCTTGCTAAGGGGGAAGAGATTAAAATGTCTTCTACGTCTTCATCTGTTTTATTCATGCTTTCTTAAAAATTGTTTATTGCAGTGAATTAATTCCCACATGAACTAACTTGTCCCTTGATATACTGACCTTCTTGTAATTTCACAGCAATCTTGCATGAACCTAGCCAATTACATGGAGACCACACTGAATCCTTACATAATCAACATCACTTTAGCAGCCAAAATGTGTAGCCAAGCACTTTGCCGGGGACAAGGAATATGTACAAGGAAACACTGGAATTCAAGTGACTATCTTCACCTGAGCTCAATGAATTTTGCTATTCAAACTGGGAAAGGTGGAAAGTACATAGTAAATGGGAAACCTACACATGAATACCTGCAGCAATTTTCTGAAAAATTTTATTGCCGCTGTTATGCTGGCTTCAGTTGTAAAGAGAGCGATAATATAGAAAGCATTCATGCTGTTAATGTGTGCATTGCTGAAGATATCTGTATAGACACTTTTCTGGATGCAGAACCCAGTGGTCATCCTTCCATCAGGAAAGAAGAACCTCCTGTCACTTTTAGCAGTGTTTCATCCTCCACACCATTTGCCTCAGAGCCTCCGTCTGTTCCTGGGGCAGATACCAGTGGGTGTCTCAAGGCCAATTGTTCAAAGAAAGCCATCTCTACCAATGACCAAAAGGACTGTCAGGGTGCTAATGGGAAAAACATGTCCAGTCAGTATTTATATCTTCAGAACAAGAAAAATCACACCTATTCAAGTACAAGTTCGGTGCTTGTTAAATTTCCTATCCACATACTTTATGTTTTGATGTCTTTTACATTTTTATATTTAATAATTTAGTTTTCACAGACAAGTGATAATACCTACATACTTGAAGTTTTATATTTCAAATGTGAATCAAAACCCATAGTCAAAAAAGCATTTTGACTTTGTTTGAGCAGATTATTTTCCCTTGATCAGTTTGAACTTGAAATTACTGACAGATAAAGAACCTTGACTATGATCTTTAATTTTCAAAATGGTAATCGGGAATTAAATCCCTTATTAGGGCATTTCACTTTTGAAAATAAAAATAGAATCTTGATTATTAATATAGCATAGAATTTGTTTTGAAAGGTGATACTCACTTTGTGTTTTCTAATTGCCATGATCCTATAGCAAATATTTCAAATGCTGTAAATGTATATAGAGAACTAAGAGCCACCTGTTATATTTCTGGATTTATCAAAGACTATAACACATGGAGGCCTAGTTTTTTTCTGAGAAAAGTGAAGATTTGCATAAAACCGACTTACTGTGAATGAATGTCTTTATAAGTAGTTTGTAATTTGTAATAAAAATGTCAAGAAAATATTAAGGTGAAAAACCCTATCTGTTTAAAATGGAAAACTCTAAGTGCCCTAGTCTACCTCAAGCATAGAAATATAATTTTTAGCTCTTTTATCTTAATAACTTGTGCCAGCTGTGTTTTATAAAAAAGTAATCTTTTAAAAATGATTATCCTGTCAAGTGGTGTACATGGCTTTAGTATGTCTTCAAAATTCATGTATATAAAGTATTCTAATTGTCTTTTCGTTCTTGATCCTGAAATTTAATCTTGTCAAAATGCTTTATTTCATCAAAGCATCTTCCTAGATGAAGAACAACATGGAGCCAGTCCTCAAGATGTGAGGATTAATCAAATCCCCACTTTCCCACTTTTCAGTCATCCCTGACACCAGCCACCCACACAGCACTTTCTCTCTCTGACCCGAGCCAGCCGGAGCTAGGTCAGATCTCACAGGTTAAAAGGACACTGTCCTTCAGACTGCCAAATAGGCACATACCAGCTGCAAGCTTGGCAGTTCACACGACACCCTACACGTCTGATCTGCTGGCTGCAAATGAAAGATTTTCCCGCTACCCCTTCAGATGCCAGCCACAAACTTGGGGGCCTTTCCTGGGCTTCCTCATTTTCACCTGCTGGCTCCCATTATTCCTTTGGGTTTAATAACTCACTGGAATGACTTACAGAACTCACAGAAAGCACTATACTACAATTACAGATTTATTATAGTGAAAGTAATATGATAGTATTACTATCATATTACATATTTCCCTGATAGTACAGTAATATGATATATATTAGGATTAGCATTGTAAAAATGGTGTGAGGGGGAAGGTGAATAAAGATCAACAGCCTAAGGCTGATTCCTATGAGGCAGATGTCAGACATGTCTCCTCTCTCTGCCATCTTTATTAATTCTGACACCAGTTGTCCCTCCCATGGCACTCTCTACTTCTGTCCTGGGTTTGATAATTCCTTGCAATGGCCACGCAGAACTCACAGACCATACTCACGATTATGGGGTTTATTAGGGAAGTAACAGGTTACAGTTCCGGTTCAGGAACACTCCGTATACAGTTCTTCCATTCAGACAGCCTCTTCCCAGCTATTTGCAGGCACACCTCTCCCTGGCCCTTGGCCTCTGCCCAAAGGCATTCAGCTTTCTCTCTCAGTGGTCTGGGAATCCCACCACGCTATCTCCTGCTGCCAGGTCTCTGCTGCTGCTTCTTGCTGTCTTCAGTGTTACAGCTCTCTCTCCCTGTCTCCTGGTTCCAGGAGCTTCTTAGCTCGGAGATCCTGGGTCCAAAGAACATGCCAACTCCTGGTTGTTCTTCCTTGGTGGTGGTGGGATCTTCTCCCTTTCACCTCTGGGATGGGTCATTTCAAGCCCAGCAGGATGGCAAAACTGATCAATCCCCTGGTGGGCCACAATTATCCTATCACATAGTCCCGCCTAATCACCTGGGTGGGAGTTACAAGACTACAGCTAGAAAGGCCACACAAACATGATCCACCGCACCGCAGGCCACCCCCTGGCTTTTCTAGCCATGGTGCTTTCATATTTGGAGGATAACTTCCCTTTCCCAATCATTTTACCAGTCCAAAACAGTCATTAACAATTAGTCCTTCTACAGGGCAAAGAGTCCTAAGGGTGAAGTTACTCAGGTACCAGCCATTCAGATCTGCTGCAGACGTCCATCTGAATCTGGTCAGGTTCTCCAAAAGTCATCTGGCTTCACCCTTTCTGGGGTCTGATAAAATTTAACTGAGAGAAGATTATTTTGTTGCTCTGAGCCTCACGCGGTATCAGCATAACAAAACCTTTAAGGGAGTTTAGGTTCAGCCACTGTACTGGAGTGCAGCAGTGCCTCCCCCTTAGCCCACTCTTGCAGTTACAGCTTCTACAATCACAATTAACACTGTTAACAGTCAACATTCATAACTGAATCATATAATCCTATCAGCATCTTCCCCCACCCTCTCCTTCCCAGACCTATCAGAAAAAGAAGAATCTATTCAGTAGAGATGTTACCCTGTGCTCCTCATTTTGAGTGTAAGCACACCCACGAAAGCCACTTCATGCCTTTATCTGTCCCTCATTTTAGATAGCCAATGTTTACATTGCCTGTCCCTATCAAACCAGTACCCTAAGAAGACAAGTATGTTTCTTGGTCTTGAAGAATCTTCTGTTCTGGTAGGAACTTCGCACATCTGCATCCATAAGCAAAGTCCAGTCCAGAGCAAGTGATCAAATTGCAGCAATCTACACCAGCTCATGGTGTCAAACATCTTTCTCTTCATTTGGTCAGGTTCTGGTCAGCTCATCCCTGGCCATCCAAGCTAGGTCACAATGGGTAGCAGTCTTAGGCTCGAGAGTTCACACATACCTCCTGTAACTTCAGACAGCCCCTTCACACTCTCATCCCTAGCCTTCTTGGGCTAGGTCAACAGGTTCTACCCATAAATTCAGGAGTCCACACAACTCCCTTTTCTTCATACCAGCCAGCCCTTCCTCTCTCTCTTATCCCTAGCACTCGAGGGCTAGGTCAACTGGTGCCAATGGAACATTTCCAAACCTAGCCCATCTCTTCATTGCTGCACTTCCCCTACTTCCATTCATTGAGTGGACTGAGATGGTTACCACAATCAAGCAGACCAAGCTGTCTATTCATCAGCTCCTTTAACTTCCAGTCCTGAAAGGGGGTTCCTTCTGATGGGCAGTGACTTTTCCTGCCTTGATGCATCCAACAGCAAACTGCTTGCTCAAAATTCAAAAAGCAAAACACTTTTTTTTTTTTTCCTGCAGCTCCTTTCTTCAAATGCAAATCTCCTGTTCTCTGGGTAGTTCTGCATGTTTTTTGCAAATGCAAATTTTCTGACTCTCAAAGGGTTCTGGTGGGGCTTAGATATGCACAGGGCCCATGCCTCAGGCAAATCCTGGCTCCCCTTTTAGCATATCCAACCAAGTATTAGCTGAAAGCAGAGTTACACACTCTCTGTAACCTATAATACCCAATGTCTTGGTTATCTAGTGCTGCTATAACAGAAATACCACAAGGGGATAGCTTTAAAAAAGAGAAATTTATTCTCTCACAGTCTAGGAGGCTAGAAGTCTGAATTCAGGGTGCCAGCTCCAGGGAAAGGTCTTCTCTCTGTGTCAGCTCTGGAGGAAGGTCCTTGTCATCAATCCTCCCCTGGTCGAGGATCTTTTCAGCTCAGAGACCCCAGGTCCAAAGGATGCACTATGCTCCCAGTGCTTCTTTCTTGGTGGCATGAGGTCCCCGTGTCTTCTGCTCACTTCTCTCTTTTATGTCTCAAAAAAGATTGGTTTAAGACCAACCTAATCTTGTAGATTGAGTCCTGCCTCATTAACATAACTGCTGCTATTCCAACCTCATTAACATCATAGAGGTAGGATTTATAACACATAGGAAAATCACACCAGATGACAAAATGGTGGACAATCACACAGTACTGGGAATCATGGACAAGTCAAATTGATACACATTTTGCAGGGACACAATTCAATCCATAACATCCAATATTGATTTCTATCATTCATTTAGGTCTGCTTTACAACGCTTTACAACAGTAGGTAGGAGAAACATTCCATATCCATAGTACATTCAAATAAACACATAAACTCATAGCCCTTTTTAAAACATTCCGGTTTTGCCTTCTCTTCTCCACACCTTAACTATCTTCCCATTCATATGCAAATGAACTTGGGCCTCTGGCTGTGTGGAACCAATAGACCTTGGCCCCCTGTCATTATGTCAGGATAATCATCCTGTTTATCTGGCCTGGCTTTTGCCTCAGGTCACTCCAGTGGGATCTTTTCTCCCCTCAGCTGGAACATAACTCTCCCTTTGGTCATTGCAAGCAACAACAACCAAAGCAACCATCCAAGAATACAAATTTTCATGCCAAGCCCCTTTGATCTTTCTCTTACAAAATTCCATTCTTCTATGAGTCTGTAGCCATTGCAAAGAATCCTGTTTCTGACGCCAACTGTTAAAATGGCATGGGGGTAGGGTCTGACCTCCTCTAACTTCACAAGGGGGAAGGTGAATAAAGATCAATAGCCCAAGGCTGATTCCTATGAGGTGGACGTAAGACATGCCTCCTCTCTTTGCCATCTTTACTAATTCTGACATCAACCGTCCCTTCTACAGCTGGGTTCAATAATTCATTGCAATGGCTACACAGAACTCACAGACCATGCTCACGATTATGGGGTTTATTAGGAAAGTAACAGGTTACAATTCAGGTTCAGGAACACTCCGTATACAGTTCTTCCATTGAGACAGCCTCTTCCCAGCTGTGTTCACAGGCATGCCTCTCCGTGGCCCTTGGCCTCTGTCCAAGGGCACTCAGCTTTCTCTTTCCGTGGCCTGGGAAGCCCACCATACCGTCTCCTGCTGCCAGGT